AAAAAGACCTCTAAAAATCAAATCGGCGGATATGGCATGTGACCGAAATATTTCGGCTTGTGTTGAAGTTATTGCAGGGATATAGGTCCGGTCCTTATGAGATCCGATTCACAGCACCTGATAAAAATTAGCCGATGTAAATATTACAAAACTTTAGTACCGGTACATACAGTGCGTTCGAATCTTAATTTGTACTCAAGTTCCAAAGCAGACTTGGGACAAAGCTTATTCTGTCATGTGAAATACGTAACACCACATTATTTAAGTAATACAAGGATCAAACTTTGAATCTTTGTATTTAAATAACTGTCGACAGGATGAGTTTTTGTCCCAAGTCTGCTTGACTTAACTTTTGGAATCGAGTTGGACCGGACAGAACTTTTCACATCCCTACAGTGCGTACGTACATATATCTGGTTGAATACAGAAATAGTGCCTTAAGAGGTTTATCTGATTCATTACGAATTTATTATGCATAGAATGATGGGATAAAATTACAAAAAGTTTTGAGATAAAATGACTGCAGAAAATGCGACCAGCTTGAAAGCAATTAAAAGGTAGTTTTCGATTATTTCTTTATTTGATTGGCTAATTTCGGACATCCTAAGCGCACACACCACATAAGAAAGCGTTTCTTAGTATAGCACAAGTTGCCGTCAGGAATTCGGATCATGTGAAGCGTAAGGTGCGTTTTACGGTTAAAAATGACATTGACATTACGACAAGAACGGTTCGTTATACTCCGGCGTCGGTGGCAATCACCTCGCTGACAGTCATATTTAACCGACATCACTTAGGGTGACAATTTAACATTTGATTGATTTAGCATATATATTTGTAAATTGTTACTTATGTGATGTCGGTTAGATGACCTCATGAACTTTGCTTAAAGATAAAATATTAAAGTTGTCTGCCGTAATAGGTTTTTCGAAGCTGCAATTTTTTTACCGTAATATGTGTAATAGTAATAGACGTAAGAGATATAATGATTATAATGGGTATAATGATTGTAATGGATGTAATGGTCGTAACAAGTATAATGAGCTGATTACAGGATTATGCTAATAAGTGCTAACCCAGATATTAACGAGATTTCAGTGATATTGTGAGATTGTAATTAAAGAATTCTCTGAGAACTCAGAACTCAGAACTCTGATAATACCAAATTTTAAATACTGATCACATTTACCCCGCTTTACGTGTATCCATCTATTCTCTAAATATATTAAATTCTTTTGCGTGTATCTATTAGTCTATACTGTAAGCTTCTTTATATGAAGTTTTTTTCGTATCGGTATCATATGAAATTATGTAATTTGATTGGTTAATTATCACGGGCAATCACCGGTAGATTTATAAAATTAGCCATTCCATTACGATTATACATAATTGATTATCATCATTTTTGCACAAGAACATATTTTAAATCGGGAATGCAACGAACACTTGCGGTGTTATCACGATCTGCGTGGAAAGGTATTTCATAGAATTAAACTAAGTGGATTATAGTTATGTAATGTTGAATTTGCCTTGTTCTATCAATATAATAGGTCCATTTTTTGTAAGGTTTCCCGAATTTCGCCAAGCTCAAACTACTGGACAACCCATAAAAACCACAGCTCGCTCATGTACAATATTACCAATATTTGTAGGATTGAAATTTTTAGTACATAATGGCAAAGATTATATACCAGTTACGATCACTGAAGAAATGGTTGGACATAAACTGGGTGAATTCTCACCGACTAGAAAGAAGTTTTCGTTTAGGAAAACGAAAAACAAGTAATTTGAGGACAATATAACTTTGGCTGAAAGTGATGGAAAATAAAGAAGATTAATCCATTAATCCTTAATAAAAATTTAAAAAATTATTTTATAATAAACTTTAAAACCAAACAAATAAGATAGTGATGTTTTCAAAAAAATTTTTTATTGCAATGATTATAATGCATCTGCAATTTTTCAACATTAATTCGGTTTTAAAGAGGTGGTTTTTACTTTCAACGTCTAAGACTAGCTTAACGAGATGGTGCCATTCATTTGAGATCCGTGCATAAATAAAACTTTTATTGTCGTCGGATGTGAGGCGACTTCAAGTTTGTTGGAAATGCTAGCAATGAAAAGAGTACGAAGAAAGAGTGCTGAATAGGAAAAAATTGGAATTTGCTTTATAAATGCTCTTGAAAGAAAGTCTCTTTGACCTGCATGGTTAATTATGCTAGTGTCCGGAAATTATCGGTAACGGTGGTCTGTGCAGAATTCGGAAATGGTTGGTAGGCAAAGAATTCACGCAAAATTCAGTTTTAACTTGCGGTAAACTATTAGCGGCGGGGATGTGGAATATTGTGGCAATGTTAGTTTCTAATTTTGTTTTATATATCATCGTAGAATCTATAAAATTAAGATAATTGCAACGGAGTTTGTCGGTTGGAGCAAAAATCTCGATAATGATTATCGTTCAGTAGATCGATTTGCTATAATAACGTGATGATGTTCTGATACTCTTGATCTACGTAATAGCATGAAGAAACTTCATTATCACGAAAATCCCAATTCTTTTTTCAAACCACGACCTCCTTATTTGAAGAGTTTATCCGAATTATCCCAATGGAAACCTGAACATGATGAATTTAACGTTGCAAAGGTTGATTTACGAGAGAGGCCTACTTTCAGAAATGATGCCTCACAGGAAAAGAAAGATAAAAGAGATTGTCAAGTGGTAGCCTGTCATGATATGGCTGGTGGTAAGCTCGACACTTCAATATTCTATTTAAAAAAAAAAAAAAAGAAATACTAACTTGTGCAAATTAGGTTATGTTGAGAACTTCTTCAAAATCGGATATAGCATTCAGTACTGGCAATACATAGATATTTTTATCTAGTAATTATTGCTTTTTTTTTTAAACAAAAAAATAATAATAATAATAATTCTATAAAATTCTATAAGGAATTACTAATATGCTTTATTTAATTATTTTTTCATAAAGTTTTTCTCACCACCGAGTTACAATACCACCTCCACAATGGACTAATGCTGCCCACCGAAATGGTGTTAAAGTTCTAGGAACTTTTATTACTGAGTGGGCCAGAGATATGCTGGAAAATGAATTGTGGGTACGAGGTCCGCACACACAAACACCGCTTGATGATTCCGAAAACGTTGATCGAAGAATTGTTAGTACTGTGTTTGCAGATAAATTGGGTTAGTTGTTAATGTATCTTATTATTATTTTAATTATCCATATATTAATTCTAATATTAATTCTGATATTAATTCTGATATTAATTCTGATATTAATTCTGATATTAATTCTGATATTAATTTTTATGTATATTAAAGTTTCAATGGCTATGTATTATAATTTTGATGGTTGGTTCATCAATATCGAATCTCCTTTGATTGGTGGTTCTCTCCACGCTCTTCAAGTTATCACTTTTATGAGCTACCTTACTCAACAAATGCATAAACATAAACCTGGATCTGTTGTTCTTTGGTTTGTTAAAGCACCAATATAAATTTGTAATGATTTTAATTCAATTTCTAATTTTTTTATCTATGAAAAGGTATGATTCTATCACTAAAGAAGGAACACTTGCGTGGCAAGACCATTTGAATGATTTGAATTATCCTTTTTTTGATGTAACCGATGGTATTTTTATTAACTACACTTGGTCTGAAGAATATCCAGAATTATCAGCACAAAAGGCTGGTTCTCGAAGGCGTAATGTCTACACTGGTATTGATATTTGGGGCCGTAATACTTATGGTGATGGCGGGTGAGTTCTTATTATAATGACGTTCGATTATTTTATATGATATAGTATTTAACTAATCTTAACTGACCTTTGGAATAATGACAATTACTTTCGATTAGATTTAATACCTATAAGGTTTTCAATATTTTTGCCCTTTTAAAATTGGTTTCCATTATTTATTTATATTTGCTTTCAAACTTTCCAACAAACTTAGGCACTTAAAGTTATTCAAAAGGCCAAAACATCTTGTGCTTTATTTGCACCAGCCTGGACATATGAACATTTAGGAAAAGATGCTTTCTGGGAAAACGATAAAAAATTTTGGATTGGCAATGCAGACAAATACGAGGATGCAGAAACAGAACGAACTTCGGAAGATGAAGGTTAATTTTCAATTACCAATATTGCAATAAGTTTTGTTATTTTTAATAATCGAACAATTATTTTGACAATTAAGGACTTGCTGTTGCACATTACATCGTGCCAAGATACTCACCAGTAAGTTTGTTTCATCTCAATTTTGATGTTGAAGTTGTAGATTTCTGACATTTTCTTTCTCACATAGGGAATTTATAATTTTTATACAAATTTTGACCGTGGTTGTGGGCACAGGTTCTTTATTAAGGGATTGGTAATTGTTTTGTTGATTTTATCCCATACTCTTTTGTTCAATAAATCATGTTACGACATTATATCATGTTTATTATTATTATTAGAACGTTCTGGAGCAAGAATGGGCACATCTTAGTCATCAATCCGTTCAACCTTTTCCGACAAAGCGTATTTCCGAAGTATCATCAAATAATGCATCAGAAATGACTATTAATAAATCCCATGACATTGCATGGAACTTAACCTTTGATAAAGCATATAATGGTGGTACTTCTGTAGTTGTATACACTACTACTGTAAATGATAAAGCAAGAGCAAGAATTTACATGTTACCACTTTATGACTTGAATGTTACCATCTCTCCACACGGGTACACAAGAGCAAGGGTTACTTATTTGCCAGAACATCGTGGAATAGTTGTAGGATTGTATTTAAAAGTAGGATTTAATCGAAAACTTAGTGATGGCAGAAAAATCTCCTTTAACCAGGACGCAAAACCTACAAGGAAGGATTCAGAGGATCAGAAAATATCATTCATTACTTTGAACAACGAAAGTTATGTTGATGATAGATTTACCCATGAATCCGAAAATCCAAGCATTCCATTACAGAAATTCAAGACAACTACTGTGTCAATGAGTCATAATTGGATAACTGTAGAAGTTTTAATACCACCTAATACATTCTCGATATCTCCAACTAGCTCGGCATTTGATTTAGTAGTGCAAGAATTGGGTGTTTCTATAAGTCATCCACCACATTTTGGAAAATTTGACATAACTCAATCGTCAAATATATCTACCTTGGTTCATATTGGTAAATTATCTGTTAGTTCAACAACATTACCATCGCATTTACCTGAGCCAGAAGTGCAAAATGTATTTTGGCGGGATAATACTTTATTTATTGAACATCTGAGTCATCGAGGTATGTTACGAATATCAGGTATTATAGAATGGGAGATGGGTGTAAAAGTTGTTGGGAATGCCAGTGAGGATCGTCATATCACACATGACAACACCACAGATATCGAAATCTCAAACTCTTTTGGATATTACTACGTATATGCAGAAGTTGACTCAGCATCACAAAGTGGAAAGCCTTCACTTGAAGAGTTGACATTTTTAGGGGTAGCCGATGTTTCGCAGTTTATAGTTTCAGGGCTC